CCGCGTGGCGACCTCCTGCGACCTCCTCTAACCGTGTCTGCGGCAATGGAGCGCAGCGGGGTGACCTGGTTTTCTCCCTTTCTCTCACGCGGGCTATGCTTTGATATTAATATTAACAGTATTAGGAACGTATCGCGCGCGGGTCGTCCATTACGTACTGCTCCAGAACCTCCGCTGGGGCTGAGGCTTCTGTGTGATCCAGAGAGTCGGCCTCGGCCTCGGCCTTCGCGGCCGACTCGCTCAGCCCGCTCGGAGCCCCACCACGTCCCGTCTCCTACCTGGGCTCCCAGCCTCAGGATGGCGTCTTCTTGGTGCAACTTAGGTGGTTTGGGGCAGTGGAAAGGGGGTTGTGCAACGTTTGTGTTGGTGGGAGGTTTGAACCCAGAGCCTTCACACTCAGCTACATCTAGTCCATTTTATTCGTTTTGAGACAGGTTTTGTTTGGGTGCTAGATTACTCAGGTTTGGCTGGAATTTGTGATCCCCCTGCCTCGGCTTCCCAAAGTGCTGGGGTTACAAACGTGGGACACCACAGCCGGCCCCCACAGGTTCTTGCAGTGCTCTGCACATCTAAAATGTGCCCATTTAACATCTGTGAGAATTAACCTCCAAAATGAGTGCTACTATTTCAGGTGACAGCACAGACCGACAGCCTTGTCTGCGAAATCCTGGATCCCTGTGAAACCCCTGGAGCCTTCAGACTCTTTTCCTTCGAACTAGCGCTGCTGAAGCTGGCCGGGAGAGGGCGCCAGGCAGACGCAGCCGGGAGAAGGGTTCCAGTTTCTGGGCTGGAACCAAAGATCTTTCTGGATCGCTCTCCCCGCAACTGTGCGGTCCTGAAGGGAGGGTTTCCGGCGATTCCTTGACGTCAGGCTGCAGAAATGGAAGTTAAAATCATAGAACCTGGGTGTGGTGCGCACGGCTATAGTCCCAGGACTTGTGATCACCGTGCATTCAAGGCCAGCCTGGGCTGTATAGTGAGTTCCAGGCCAGCCTGAACCACATGCCAAGACCCTGTCTCAAAAAATGAACAGGCGAGCCGGGGAGATGGCTCAGTAGGATAAGCGCTTCCCTGGCAAGCGCAAGGGCCTGAGCTCAATCCCCAGTTCCACCCAAAAATAAAAATAAAAATAAATAAACAGGCATAGCTAAGTGTGGTGGCACATGCCTGTAACGCCGGCACTCGGGAGACTGAAGCAGGAGTGGAAGACCGGCCTGGGCTACAAAGTGAGCTCAAGGCCAGCCTGAACTACATAGCAAGACCCTGTCTCAAAATGACAATGGGCTGGCCAGGTAGCTCGGCAAACTAAAGCACCTGCTTAGGCAGGCTCGGAGACCAGGGTTCAATCCCCCATGTGCAGTGCTGGCTCCACCCCGGGTCACGCTGAAACTTGGCATGGTGAGACCTGTAATCCTAGCATCTGGGAAGCTGAAAACAGGAGGATCACTAGGAGTCCGATCTGTGCAGCGAGGCCCATAAATAAAAAGAAAAAAAAGACAAAACAAGTAAATAAACAAGCATGAAACCAAAACAAAACCGACCAGAAGCCTCCCTTGGCAGGCATTCTTCACACTGGTCCACCCTGCGAGAACCCAGTGCTACTGGGTAGGGTTGCACAGCAGCCCTCACGGAGGCGCCCTCCCCAGTCTTCCATTCCTTGGGCATAAGCAGCTCTCCACCTGACCCTGACCCCTCCTGTGCCTTCCCTGTCTTTCACACTCACACGGGTCTATCAGCAAGCCTGGGCTATACGGCCACAGGAGTTTCCCTCATCTTCTGGCTGGGCTATTCCATGCTGGCTCGGAATCAGTTAAAATAGGTCAGATCATATCTCTGTCCCTAGGGGCTATAGTCTCCCCACAGGAGAGGAACAAGTGTCTTTGCTGTTGCCCCCAAAACTATGTCATGTAATCTCCCCTAGTCTTCCACTTTTCATTGACTTTATTTATTTATTTATTCATTTATTTTGTCCTTTTCAGACAAGGTTCCACTATGCAGTTCAGGCTGGCCTTGAGCTTACTTTTGTTTGTTTGTTTGTTTGTTTGTTTGTTTGTTTTTGCTGGCTCAGCCCACCCTGAGGGACTGGGCATGTGGTGCAGGAATAGAACCATAGTGCCCTGCAGCTGCCTAAACTTGCCTAAGCAAGCGCTTTAGACCGCAGACTTGAGTTCACTTTGTAGCCCAGGCTAGTCTCGAACTCACAATGAGCCTCCTGCCTCAGCCTCCCAAGTGTTGAAATTACAGATGTGCACCAAGTCTAGGCTCATTGACTTTACTAGTGACACCTTCCTGCCACCCACTTGCCCTTGTGTCCCTGTGTCCTCACACATTCCTTCCTAGATGTTGTTTGGTCTTTACCCCATTGCCTTTCTTGGTAACCCTGCTTCACACTGGAAGCATACACCAAGCACACGGGTAACCCTCTGCCTCACTGGAAGTCTCAGTTCAGTAAGGGGACAGAAACTACACAATGATTTCAACAGGAGCCACACAGTGATTTCAACAGAAGAAGCAAGTGTGGTGGTGTGTGCCTGGAATCTCAGGACTTAGGAGGCCGAGGCAGGAGGATGGCCATAAGCTCGAGGCCAGACTGGGCCTCATAGGTCAAGACCTCTCTGGACTACATAGTGAGGTGCTGTCACAAAATAAATGTGTTATAGGAGGATTGATTATGAAGGCATAAGCATAACTATATTTGAGAAGGTCCCCCTTCCTCAAGGTTTCTCAGTCATTAGAAGGGTGTATCTGCCACCCACCTGATACCATGGGCATCCTTGGGTTGTCCTGGGGCAGAGTGGATTCTAAGAGCAGAGCTTGCTGAGCAGGAATATGCCTGCCAGGTGCAAGGGGCCAAGGCTGGGAAGCCTAAGGCACAATGTTGCCCATCAGACTGGCTAGGCATCACCTACAGGATCCCACTGAAACCCAGGGGAGCTGTGCACAGCTGGCTCCAAGACATGACAAGGACTGGGTATGGTTGTGGCAGCCTGGAACCCCAGCTTCTCAGAAGGCAAAGACAGAAGGATCAAACTGAAGTCCAACCAGGACAGTTTAATGAGACCTTGTCTCCAAAGAACGAAAGGGCCTACGAGCATGGTTCAAAGGGTAGCACTTGCCTATGATGCACAAAGTCCTGAGTTCTACCTCCCTCTGCACCACAAAAAGAAAAGGGATCTGAAGCCAAAGCAGTGAGTTGAAAACTGGAGCGTGTGCTCTGTATTCATCCTTTCATACCCGATTGTACTTCAGCGCCACTACTGTGTTTTTACCTAATAAAATACCTCAGAGAATGTGGCACACACCCATAATCTTCACACAGGAGGCTGAGACAGGAAGATATGGAGATAACTCTGTAGTGCAAGTGAAAAAAGCTGTTGCTGGCATGGTGGTGCACACCTATATATAAGCCCAGCACCAAAGCTGAGGCAGGAAGATCACTGAGAGTTCAAGGCCAGCCTGGGCTACCTAGCAAGACCTTGTTTCAGAAAAGAAAAAAGGGAAGGGAAGGGGCTGGGGAGATGACTCAGTGGAATAAGTACTTCCCTAGAAAGTGCAAGGGTCTGAGTTCAATCCCCGGTTGCACAAAAAAAAAAAAAGGAAGGGAAGATTCCCTAGTTCTGTTGCTGACCCACTGAAATTATTTTCTTTTTTCCTTCATTTTCTGTATTAAGACTAAATAGTAAAACCAACTTCTTAAAAAAAAGCTCACATAAATTGCTGAGCTTCCCAGCACTCAGCAGGCTGAGAGAGGAGAGTCATTGTGAGTTTAAGGCGAGCTTGGACTGTATTTTGATTCCCAGGACCAAAAAAGGACAACCCGCTCAGGACGCCTTCTGTCTAACAGAAGCTTTTTGTCCCCTAGCAAATATAACCAGAGATGGTACTGCAAAAAAGAAGAGAAAAGAAAGACAGACAGACAGACAGACAGACAGAAAAGAAAAGATCCCTGGGGATGAAAAAATAGATAAATAAATATAGCCAGAGAAATAGCTCAGTGGCATATGTGCCTGCCTGGAAAACACAAGGTCCTGAGTTCAATCCCTGGGGGGGTGGGGGGAGGTCCCCTGATAAATATATTCTGCTCTTTTTTTTTTAAATAATATTTTATGTAGTATCTTTATTTTTTTAATTATTTATTTATTTTTGTGTGTGTGTGGCCAGCTCAGCCCACCAGGGGGCTGGGCTGGCTGGCATGTGGTGCTGGGGGATTGAACCGCAGTCCCTGTGCTTTGCTTGGCTTAGCTTGTTCTAAGTAGGTGCTTTAGACCACTGAGCCATCTCACCAGCCCCTATTCTGCTCTTAAAAAAAGAAGAAGGGGCTGGTGAGATGGCTCAGTGGTCTAAAGCAAAGCACAGGGACCGTGGTTCAATCCCCCAGCACCACATGCCAGCCAGCCCAGCCCCCTGGTGGGCTGAGCTGGCCACACACACACACACACACACACATACACACACACAATAAATAAATAATTTTTTTAATGTTTAAAAAAAAAAAAGAAGAAAAGGACAAGCACAAATGGCAGCAAAGTTTTACTAAAGGTAGTATTACTTTTTATATTTTTAAGAGAAAAAATGCTTTTATTAATCACAACATGAAACTGACACGAAGTTGTTTTAGAACTGAAACAAGATAACTAATGCTTTTATAAAATTACATTTCTCACATCTATTTGAGGAAAATATTATGTACTAGCACTTTTTTGTTATGGGCCAATTTCAGTCAAGTTTTAAAAAATAGT